GAGGTGTGGCGCGTGGTTGTGGGGGGGGGGGGGGGGGGGTTAAAACCAGCTGCTTCCAATCTGAAAGACACAATATTTCCCACTGTTCACATGCAAGTGAGTCAGACATCGACTTTGTTCCATATCTAAGAAGATCACTACATATGGCCTAGGCAATGTCATTGTTTCCATAGCAACTAAAGCACGGTGAATGAAACAGAGAGCGATTAATATAAGAGGAGGCATAAACATGATATGGGATGGCATGTGCTGGGCAGCGGTAAGTGTTAACTATTTTGGGCTGAATTACATAATTCATTAATAACGCCACCATTGATAAATAATGGGGTCAGTCCAGACCTGTGCAATAAAACCTTTATATCCTCCCACCACAGTCTCCAGTTCTGTCGTTTTTTTTCGAATTGAAATTAAGTTTTAAATCTTTTAAAATAACTTTCTCCTACCAGTTCCCTAAAGCCATGGCTGGTGAGGAACTTACATGAACAACACTTAGTAACTAATACCACTTCTCATTACTTCCTCACTTGGCACCCAAGGATCACAATGAACTTTACCAAGGTTAACTAACTAAAAGTCTTACAACAGCCAACAACATTTTCCATAGAAATACACACAGAAAAGCAGACAACAAGCAACTAAACAATCGTGCAGGTGAATTCTTCGCTACAGGTCATAATTACAGACAACGCATGTAACTTCTGTCGTCAATAACATTCAGAATCATTGCTCTATTGCAATGGTGGGCAAGCAACAGACTGAAGGCAGGATCCAGATCACCATGGTTAACTCCTGGCAGGCCATCGCCACTGTATTCACCTGCAATCCACTTCCTGCAGCTCCCATTGGCTAGGAATGGTGATCCGTGGCCAACCAGAGCTGCCATCACCTCTGTACCGGCAGAGGTAAATAAAGCAGTAGCAGCCTGCCAGGGCTTAACCATGGCAACAGCCACGGCCACTGTCTTATTGCCCGCTTCTGCTCTACCTCTACAGGCAAAAAACCAAAACCAAAACCCACCCATGTGATGTCGTGTAGAAGTCTAAAAAACGCATTTATACTTTGTGTAGTTCCCTGATCTGCAACATTTGACTGTATTACTGTTCTTGTTTGTATCTTCCTCTCAAGTGTTAAAGTGCTGTGGTGTGAACTCAACAAATAAAAACTTTAGTTTTTGGATCATACTTGGATCACAATTTTTTATAAAGTAATCTGAATTCAACTGCCATGCTAACATTCACCATCATCAAAAATGTCGAAGGCAACTGGGAACATTTTCGTAGCATTTGCTAAGTACTTATGATATACAGCATGCACTGTAACGTAGCAACTCTTACAGAAGTCCAAGCTTGTAGAAAAGGAGCAACCAATCAGGAAACCGAAAAAGATGCACAATAATTCCAAAATATTTAACCATGACTAAAGATTGAGAGATAGGTCTGAGGGAATCTACAGAGTATAGCCAGTGTTGTAGCTTGCTTATCAAGAGGAGGAGATAAAAAGACCAGTGAAAGTAAACAGAGTTCGTTAACAACACCTTTTCCTCAATAGTTGAAAAGGTGCTAAAATTATATCCAACTAGAGAATACATGCTAATCTCTATGATTACGGCTGCAGTATTATCAGCCTTCAGATTGTAGTTACCAACACCACCTTCATCAAATTTCACATGCTTGGGTTTATACCAGATGAGAGTATCCCCTAGTACATGGGGGGGGGGGAGAAGGGGACGTGAGGGTTTCTCAAAAATCAAAAAGGGGGCGTTTGGGAGATGTTTGGGAACCACTGCCCTAATAGGTCTGAAGCACCTAAGGTAAGGCATTTGTGAGATGAAAAAAGAAAAAACAAAACCCACAACTTTGGGGGGTTTGTTTGGTTTTAAAAAGAGGGAGAGGAACAACCATGCACACCTCCTGTAATTGACTTGTCTTTCTGCTTCTTCACACATGGAGCTCTAGTATTCCCCAGGGGCTCTCCAACTTCATTGCTCCGCACCCCCCCTTCTGATAAAGTACTACAAGACCCCGGGGGCGGGAGGGAGTGGGAGTGACCTGCAGTTTGAGAACCACTGGTATTTGCTATAATGAAGCTTTGTTTTGTAGTAGGAGATAATAAGAGGACGAGTTCTGTCCTCAAACAACTTAGTTTTTCCTTAAGCTAAAGCATGCACAAGCTTTATCATCAAACATTTGTCTTTTCAATGTCATACAAAGCTGCCTCTGAACTAGATACTATCTGTGTAGCATAGAAGATCAAACATCAGTTAAAAGACCGGCAGATTTTATTGTGCATATGAAACAGAAGATTGTTTCATACTTCCCTTGCTCAAGCTAGCTCCCATCACAATAAAGTGGATTTATCAGAGGCCAATAATTAAAGTGCAGGATTTAAACATTATTTATTTCTTAAAATGTAAATCCTTGAAGATTTTTACAACGCTTACCTCAATTACCCGGGAGTCGAAGTCTTCGTAAGTTTCTATTGGAAAAAAAAGAAACAGAAGTACTTATTTGCTCCTAATTATCAATACAGCATACAACACTAAGATGACCTAGGATGACAGGTGGTAATTGATAACCCCTGTAGGATGCAGACTCTGTAGGTATGGCTTGCAACTGATATACACTAAATTAAAGTGCATTGCTGGTTTTCTTTATGGTGGTCTGCAAAGATAATTTAAAGTATCACAATTATTTGGAAACCTATGCTCCCTACATTCAAATTAAGCCAGGCATTCAGCACGTTTATAGGGTAACATGGACCTTTACTTTTCTAGGGTACACACATTTCAGATAACACACTTGCCACCCAACCTCACTGGAAAAAGCTTAACAAGACAAGATCAATCCCAAAAAGTGTTCCCCATTTGCTTACAATATTGCACAATTCTGTAAATTGCTTAAATATTCTTATGTTATCTCCCCTTGGGTATGATGAAATACACAGGTTTGGAACTACGCAGTATGAAAAACAACATGGAACTTGGCTTGTCAGTAAGGTTCTGATGGATCATGTCAGAAGCAAAGCGCATACCGCAGTATCATACACAGCAGAAGATCGGGATGGCACGGTGAATCTAAACTTCACTGAGTTGCAGTGAAAATGAGACAGAGGTGCTATAAAGATACTAACCACTGATCTCATTCCAGTTACTTGGGGCACTCAGAATACATTTCTACACTGAGAAGAGCAGCTTCTTCCTGCAGGGCATGGAAGCTCTATTGTTGCACAAAGATGTCAGTACAGAATACATTTCTCCACTGAAGTCAGTGGTGCATTGGAACTACGGTGACAACTACCTACAATGCTGCTACATATTTCAGCTTCAAATGTCAGCAGTAAGCTTCTTTATTTTTATTTTTGTAAAAGCATGGAAAATTCTAATTCTAAATTATCCTGAAAAATTAAAATGAGAGTTAGTTGACTCTGAATTGTGAAAGTAAAAAACATATTCCACACTCCTCCATACTTGTAACAACTCAATAGTTAAAGAGATTTGGTTCCAACTTAACTTATCCTCTACACCTGTGGTCACCAACCAGTAGATCGCGAGCTACCGGTAGATCTCAGGGGCTCTAAGAGTAGCTCTTGAGCCCTCTCTGCTCTCGAGGTCCCTTCCAGTCCTATGATTCTATGATCATCTGTACACATTTGAGAGTGTCTGTCTGTCCAAGAACTCCTAAACAGCAAGAGCTAGGGTCCCCAAATCCCGTATACAGCTTCCTCTTACCATAACTTAAAGCAAGGTCAAGGGTTGGTTGTGTCAGGAAAATAGGATGTGGCTGGAATGGAATTGCTTCTCATAAAACCAAACAGAAAAGAGACAATCACCTAGCATGTGAAAGGGGGTGGCTGGGGTGCCCCCTCCCTCCAGCAAGTTACGGAATCTGGATTGGATAAATGGACTATAACAGAGGTCTCCAACTTTTTTACACCCAAGATCTCTTCTTAAATCTCAGAACAGGCGAAGCTCTACTGCCCCGCCCCTTCCTTGAAGCCCCGCCCTTTCTAGTCTCCTCCTGTCCATCACTTGCTAGCCTGAGTCCTTACTTACACACTCTGATAAACAGTTTATTTTTAAATTATGTGATATATAAAATTAAAATCACGTGTTTATAGTTATGAAATAAATGGTCTGTTTATTATTTATGCTATTTAAATCTAAAATGAAGCATTTATAATTATACATTTTGTGGGGACAGAGTTCTGCGGCTGGGGGCAGGGGAGAGGGAACAGGGTTCTGCAGCAGGGGACAGAGCATTCTGTGGCTGGGGACAGGGGAGTGGGGACGTCATTCTGTGGCTGGGGTCAGGGAAGTGGGGTGCCAGTGGAGGCAGAGAGTCCCCTGCATCTGCCTCCTACCAGGATTCGCCTCCTCCCTCCCTGAGAGAAACCAGCATGTGCCTGCCCCGGGGCCGACCCCACGCGGCGCAGGGAAGCCCCGCGCGCACCTGCCCCGGGGCCAACCCCCTCCCACGTGCAGGGAAGCCCCACGTGCGCCTGCCCCGGGGCCGACCACCCCACCCGTGCCAGGAAACCCCCGGCACGCCTCCCGCGGAGCTGACTCACCCCTCCTGTGAGGTGCAGGGAGCCGATGCTCCCTCCCGCAGGACACCCGGCAGAGCAGCTAGCGCACTTCTGGAAGCGCCGGAAGTGGCGCTAAGCTGCGGGACTTCTGTCCATCCCTGGGAAGCCGACACTACCTCCATTTTCACTTGAGGTAAGTAGTGGGGCTTCTCGGGGGTGAGAGGGAAATGGGGGCGGGGCAGACAGGACGCCTCGCGAACGACTGGTCGAGGCCTCATGATCGACCAGTAGATCGCAATCGACCTCTTGGTAACCAGGGGTCTAGATCATCGTCTAGATCCGTCATCTTGACAGGTGTCTCTAACCTGCTCTTAAATATCTCCAGTGATGGAGATTCCACAACTTCCCTGGGCAATTTATTCCAGTGTTTTACCATCCTGACAGTTAGGAACTTTTTCTAATATCCAACTTGAACCTTCCTTGCTGCAGTTTAAGCCCATTGCTTCTTGTCCTATCCTCAGAGGCCAAGGAGAACAACTTTTCTCCCTCTTCCTTGTAACACCCTTTTAGGTATTTGAAAGCTGCTATCATGTCCCCTCTCAGTCTTCTCTTTTCCAAACTAAACAAGCCCAGTTCTTTCATCCTTCCCTCATAGCTCCGATTCGATGAGTGCTCAAGCCCCGAGCTGTTCTTTCGCACGGTGACACTGCTGGCTGTTCCCCTTCGTCAGGGAGCAAGGGGAAAGTGCAGTTTGCTGCATCCCTCACTCTGGCTGGGGAGATGAACCTGGACTTACTCCAACTAGGAGACACGCCCCCCCCACAGCTGTGCTCGCTGGAGCTGCATCGGCCATGGAGAGGCGCCTTTCACTTGGCTCCAAACCACTGCAAAGAGAGAGGGCTGGGGTTGTCCTCTGTCCCTGGAGCAGCCTGAATACTGAAACCCTCATCTCCAGCCCCATTTCAGAGAGAAGAAAAACAAACATTGAGTTGAGGCCCAAGCAACGCTGGGTAAATCCTCTAGTAATAAACATATAACCAAAACCATAGCAAATCACACACCTCTAAGAATATATCTATCATAGAATCATAGGACTGGAAGGGACCTCGAGAGGTCATCGAGTCCAGCCCCCCGCCCTCAAGGCAGGACCAAGCTCCGTCTACACCATCCCTGACAGATGTCTATCTAACCTGTTCTGAAATATCTCCAGAGAGGGAGATTCCACCACCTCCCTTGGCAATTTATTCCAATATTTCACCACCCTGACAGTTAGGAATTTTTTCCTAATGTCCAATCTAAACCTCCCCTGCTGCACTTTAAGCCCATTACTCCTTGTCCTGTCCTCAGAAACCAAGAGGAACAAATTTTCTCCTTCTTCCTTGTGACACCCTTTTAGATATTTGAAAACCGCTATCATGTCCCCCCTTAATCTTCTTTTTTCCAAACTAAACAAGCCCAGTTCATGAAGCCTGGCTTCATAGGTCATGTTCTCTAGACCTTTAATCATTCTTGTCGCTCTTCTCTGCACCCTTTCCAATTTCTCCACATCTATCTATAGGTGAGCAGGCTAGCCCTATAGGCTACACTGTAACTGTCCCGTGAGATGAGCTAGGTGTATGCCAATTCCACTGTAAGTGTGTGCGCACCCTGTGTACACATCTCAGGCCAATGGATGCTGCTCGTGAAAATCTCTAGATTCAGGTGCATGCTGATCTCATCCACAGAATTCTCACTGGGACCAGCACTCCAAGAATTCTATTTCCTTCAGGGATGTGTTCAGATCTCAGGTCTGAACGCCCCTTTTGCTTAGGGGGTGATGAAGTAATGGGAATAGAAGCCTTTTCCCGGAGGGTTAGGGGAGTTTGGACCTTCCTCTATGGTCCCTGCTAGAAGGAAGACCCACAATCATCTCTGGCAGGGTGCTGTGTACAAAAACTGATTTTCTTGGGAGGCTCTGCCTGTGTGACGGCCCTGCTTCACCACTCGTTCTCACGCTTTTTAAACAGGGCTTGCCACTTCTCCAGATGCGACAGCTGTCACTGATGTTTCAAGCAGGATGACTAGCACAGGCTTTGAGCAGATCCTGCAGAACTTAAACGCCAGTGAGCAAGATATTGCTCCCTCCCAATACCAAGAAAAAAGGGTCAAAAGAGAAAATAAGGACACCTACCCCTAAATCTATCAACATGAACTGACACTAACTATGCCCGGCCCACTGCTAGTTTACAGCTGTGCAGAAAGAAGAGTGAGGGAAGCAGCTGATTCACTCCAGCCTGGATTTGCTCTGGCGTTAAACAGGAGCTGTGATGGGTGGCTCCACTCTTATACTAGCGTGCAGAGGTACACGGCAGCAGAGGAGCTTGACCCACCTTCACAGACATTGCTGAGGAAAGATAAATCTCTGACATCTGTGCCTGGCTGTGCACACAACAACAGTGGAACTGACAAGTGAAACAGTTAGAAGAAGTGCGGCACAGAAAGGTTAAGTGATTTACCCAAAAGCTGGAAACAGAATCTAGGTACATCATGAATCCCAGTCAACCTGTGGAACTCCTTGCCAGAGGATGCGGTGAAGGCTAGGACTTTAACAGGGTTCAAACAAGAGCTAGATAGATTCATGGAGGTTAGGTCCATTGATGGCTATTAGCCAGGATGGGTAGGAATGGTCTCCCTAGCCTGTTTCTCTGGAGGTGGGTGACAGGGGAGGGATCATGTGAGGATTACCTGTTGTGTTCCCTCCCTCTGGGCTCCTGGTATTGGCCACTGTTGGCAGACAGGACACTGGGCTGGATGGACCTTTGGTCTGACCCTGTCTGGCCGTTCTTATGTTCAGTACAGTGCCTTGCTGAAAAGACCAAGCTTCCTCTCTCAATTGCATCTCAAACCCTTGGGGCACCGTTACTCATTTCTTGAGTGAATCACAGCTCGCATTTATTCCGGGACCCAAGTCACACACTATTCTTCTGAGCTCTTCACTGCTGAAGCAGTGCTGGAGGTGGGGGGATAAACACTTGGGCGCAGTATGTTCCAGTGATGATCCATTTGTGTATTTCATCTTTTGCATGCACGAGCTGCCTACTTCCATAAGCATCACTCCGACGACTACCCTGAGTGACCTGAACATACATGCTTTGATTGGAGACTGTCATACCGCTAGAGGAATAATATTTCTATAAATGGCTCCCTTCCATCATGTCTACACTATTAACTAGCATTATTTGAGGCTATTTGGAATGACAGAATATTAGACAATTTACAATGATTCAAGCAAACAACCATGAGACTTATAGGATACAGATTTCTATATAACTACAGGAAAAAAAACCCTTGTCATTTCAAATCAACCATAATATCTTCGTTCAGTACTTTAAAGGGTATTCAATTTAAAGGGCTTCCTGAAACATTTCTTTGAGCGGGAGACCTGGGGCTGGCCTGGCCTCAGCCCTGCCCGAGGGCTGGGGGTAGGATGGGACCCAGGATTGGCTCAGACTTGAGTCGGCCCGGCCTCTCCCAGTGGATGGGGG